TTCTTTCATACCCCGAAAATCCCATAATTTCACAAATTTAATTTTTTATGACATCACACTTTACTATTGCCTTTGTGTCAGATTGGTTGACTGGATTGCTCGACTCTGTGATTTGCTAGCCCTGGCTGGAACAAAGAGTAGTGTTTTTTAAGTCTGACCATACTCGACTGAAATTCATAGCTGAAAGGCTAATTTATTCACAAACTGCCTGTCCTCCTAGTTAAAATCTTTTAACCTTTTTCTTGGCCCTCTAACTTCCCAAGAGTGCTAAAATCAAAGTTCCTGTATTTTATGCGGTAAAAAATAAATAAATGAGCAAATGACGGAAAAATATACCAACCATGCAAACAACAGCTGAAGAAATTTCATCTGAATGGTCCGAACGTGATTTTGTGCGCTCTGAAAAGTTAGAGCTACATTCTTAAAAAATGACTAAAAATACATTGACTCAGCGACGCGCATCTCTACACTAATGATCATGGTTGTAATAGCATTGTTTACATAAGCTTAACTTAGTCTTAACCCTTTAAACGGCAACGGTGATGAACATCACATTTCTCCTTACGAGGTCACAGCTCAATCAACCATTAAGGTCGCGAGAGTAAAGAAAATGGTCAACAAGTAACCTGGGTGGTTTGATGTATGTTCTTCTCTGACACAAGGTTACACATCGTTTAGCATTTGTAGCTCAACAAACGGGGAATGATGTTTTGGCAAGCTGTAACTTTTGAACGGAACATAGCGTATCTATTTTCGTTCAACATGTTGAATAGCCTATTTTAACTTTAAAAATGGCATGATACACTGGTTCAGCATTCTTAGAAAAGTCAATGGATGGGGGAAAGTGTGAGAATATGCAAGCTAAAGTTAGGGTTTAACCCTTTCAACCCTAAGATCAAAATGTGAATTCCCATTTGTTGCCCCTATTCATTTCCTACAGAAGTAGTGAGGAGAAGTTGATAAAATATCAAGCAAATTCTTCTTTTGTGATCATGTGCCTAATTCTCATGACCACTCTGTTTTACAAAGGATTGGTATTACAAGGAGAAATTTGATGCTGATCACTCTAAGGGCTTCAAGGGTTAAAGAGATGAGAGTCGGAACACCATAGGCCCTATGCAGCTGACAGTCACATGACCTGCTTCAAGCAAAAAATATAAATATATGAGATACAACTTAAACAATACTAGAGATGGTCAACAGAGCACGAGTAAGTTAGCGAGGAAGCCAATTCTAAAGTGTTGACACGTAAGACTAAGATTTTATGGGCGTTAGAAAGTCTGTAAAATTGTAACGGTTTGTATTAAAAAAAAACTACTTTTCCTATAGCTATAATAATAATAATAATAATAATAATATTTTTTTTCCGTTATTCAAACCACCATAAGATCGCACTGTTAAGGGTTTAAGAAACCTAAAAATTAATAGAGTTCTTGAAGGATTGTATCCCATAATTTTGGCATGAGATATGTTCCGTAACCCCGAGTTACAAAGGGCCTACTCCTACCTCAAAAGATAAAGCTCTGAAGCACTCTTGTAAAAGTACATTGTATAGGAATGAATTGATCGTTCGATCAGCTTCCGAATATTTCCATCTTAAGATATATAGTAGCCTGTGAGCAAGCTTTCCAGGGCGCTCTGGCGGCGGTGGGGGGGGAGGACAAAGGAGAGCTGGGCATTACGTCACTGGAATTTGAATTCCACCTCCAATTCCCCCCGTGGCTTCTCGTCGACTGAGCTGTCAAATTTTCGCCAATCAGCGCAAAGCAGAAACGAGCGCGAATGTAAACAAACATTAAAAAACACATGCCAAGGGTAATGACGTCATTACTAATGTCATCTCCGCCAATCAGCATTTCGCATTTACTTTTTCGACGTAGATTTTCAAATTCCAGAGACGCAGTTGCAAGCTCTCCTTTCTATTCCCACCCCGCCGCCAGAGCACCCCGGGGAGCTTGCTCGCAGACTAGATGTATACATAATGTCCTTCCCACCATGCTCTCTATTCATCTCAACATTTACCCTTGTACCTTTTTAGCTTGCCACGTTTCAATTTTATCCTTGATGCTGATCTCACTTTCTCTGCGTTTATAGGAAAATAAAATTTGCATCAAGGAGCAACACATACATCTCTCACTTAACAACGCTATTCCAACTGGTCAAACAAAAGACAAAGTCTACCTATGTGGGTTGAAAAATATATATATTACAAAATAAATTCCGGAAAAAATTGTTAAAACTGTACATAGATTGCTTTCAAGAAAAGTACACACTACTTTAATTCCCCATTCCAGAAGCTCTTGGAGAATAACTACATAGTTTGGGCGCCGCGATTTCTGGGAGACACGCGTGAAAAACGCAGTGCACATGCGTGCCTTCCCTGCTTCCGGCGCGAATTTGCCAGTGTCTCCCCCAATCGAAATTATACGCGATACCAGAATAAACTAGATTCCGGCCGCGAAATTCAAAAAAGTAAGCTCCACACACAAAAGATAAGCTTAGAATTTCACGAACACAAAGTGTATTAATTGCTTTAGTTTCTCTCTTTTGCACCACATACTTTCCTCCATGCATCAAAGGCGAAAATCATGTTTGAAAGTCCACGCTCGCTCTGGCAGCACTTCGCCGTAGCCATTGTTGTTGTTTTGGTCATCCTGTCGCTGAGCTCGGTCAATGCGAACAACGAAAACGACCAATGCATGCTAAGTGGAAAAACAAGGACGGAAAAACCTTGTACTGGACGACTTTACCAGTTAGTTAGTTAAGTTAGTTTAAGCAATTTTTTGTTGTGCTTAATACTAGAACTGGCTGCAAACCATTAAACATATCAAACATTCCTAAGTGTTTTTCAATTTAAATGGCGAAGATTTTGCAAATTTTAATTATTTAAAATAGAGACCTTGCGCATGCGCAGACGTTTTGCACGCGTGTCTTTCTGGGATCATTTGGGTTGACAAGCGTTAGTTATGATTGGTCGAGTTAGTCGATAGTATTCGAGACAACCATTAGCCAATCATAAGTAACGATTATCCATCCAAACGATCCCAGGAATCTTTGCGCCAAGCTTGTACCCATTCCTCTTATAGTTTCTGGAATGGGGAATGTCAGTGACGAGTCCATCACGTGCACTAAAAAAATCTCTATACACTAGTTTCGTTTCGCTGTGGTTCTGGAGTCGTGCGGTTGAGGTAAGGTACAGGAACAAACACAGCTGACGAGGGCTGCTCAGCGCCCCACTCTTTCTGCTTAGGCTTCGATCGCTCATCTTTCCGAGAAGACATGGACGACCGAGGGGTTCGCTCTTTCGGCGTTTCACCTGGATTCACTAGTAAAGCTCTGTTAGCATTCTTCTGTGATTGCGATCTTGTTTCGCCAGCAGCTCGATTAGCACGACGAGACTGGCCATCGACTTTTCTTGTTTCAATACCAAGATTGTGGTGTATTTCACGTGCAATTTGATAAGGAGTACGTTGTCTTCGACCAGAAACATGAACTCCGTTCGACTGTTCTAGCTCGAGTCCTGGCTTTGATGTTAGTTTATCTTTCTATTTTAGGCTTAAAATCTATGAAATACGTTCCCAAAAGCAAAGTTGAATCTTTAATTTAAATTGCAAAAGATCATGGAAGGCCAAACTCGCGCACGAGCCACTGATTTATACTCCCATCAACGTTAAAAAGCGCGGTACAATCCAATTAATTAATTAACATTAATTAGTTTTTCTTTGATGAACGTGTGAGATGAAAAAGAGGTGGAATGAGAACCTTCCAATGGATCCAGAGTAAAATTATACTAAAGCAGAAAGGTCCAATTTATTTAGATTATAGCTGTTTAAGTACTGAAGGGGTCAGAAAATAACAGAGTTTCTATGGTCTCAAGAAACCATCCTTAAGGTAGGGCAGAAGGTAGTTTACAAGACTATTAGCATTCGGTGCAGTGTTAGTTCTTTTTTAACCAAGTAGACAGTAGTTTGATCATTTTCGTTGAAACTGATTCCAAAGTTAAACCGGTCCCTGATATCTTCTAACTTTTATTACGCATTAACTCGCATTCACAAGTTCTACAGTCATGTATCTTCTTTGCCCCTGGTTTGGACCTCATTTCAGAAGCCACGTGAGAGTTATATTTAGGTCTAAATCCGTTCCGGCACGGACCAGGGACTGGGCCGGTTAGGAGGAATTGTGGGTAGCCTTTATGAGATATGTTTAGTTGTACGTTGCAAATTTGAATCAATCCTGGTCAGCATTCATTCGAGCTCCTAACTTTTATTTTATTTGCTGTATTTCAAGTGTTTTATTTGTTTGCAGGCTTTTGGCAGCTAGTTTTTGCGTACCTCTGCACCCGAGTTGTCGGCAACGCAGCTCATTTCAACAGTTTCGGGCGTACGTTCCCTTTTTCCACAAAGTGCTTTTGGGTTTTCGTATCCGGCGGTGTCGTACTAAAGTTCTCTCAAGGTTTGTGTTTTTCATAGGGCGTTCTGTAATTAAGTACAGTCTTGAAATCTTACGGAAATAAATTGGCTTTGAGGTCCTTGCTGACCTATAGGAAAAAGATCTTTCCCATCACCCAATTCGTCCCGTAACTTCCCGCGCGGATCCACGCCTTTGTATACGGTTTGTAAGGTCATCAATCTTAGCGCTCAAGGACTAATGACTTTGTCATCTAACTTTCGTAGGAGCAAGAAATATTTCAAACCATGCCAGGATAAAAAGACAAAAAAATGGTAACATTGAGCCGAAAAGGGTGATGAAAATCCTCCACTAGCTACCCACCTACACTTTCTTCCTTTTAATACCATAAGTCTTGAGTTCTCCAGAACATTTTCTACCGAAATGAGGCCCAGTAAATTCCCAGAACCAAAAAAATGAACAAGAATAAAGAAAAAGGACGGGAGGAGGGAAAGCGAAAGGCAAACATGCCACGACTTTTTAACCTAAAATATCGAAAATTTACTTTCTAAAAACACCCGTGCTTCCGAAGCCGATATATTGCATAGAAGGCAATAGAATAGACGGTGTAAAGTGCTCGACCTGTAGACGACGTTCCTGGCAGTTTTGGCTCTTTACAGGCAGATAATGAGCAGACAACGGCTTGTCTAGCCTCAAAACGCCTATATTCTAAAAAAGCTGAGCTGGTTTTGAAAATCTGAGCGCTCGAATACTTCTTGTATCTAATTGGCAATGTGTAAAACGACAGTTATTAAAATAACGCCATTTCTGAATCCTTTAGTCGACATTGCTACGTTCATCGATCGGCCAATAAAAACTCGCGTTACTTGCATAAGAAATCACCGTTCAAAGCCTATACATTCTTTAACTTTCCTTTCCTTTTGCTGATTGCTCAAGCTGTGCTCATTATAATACATTACGTTGAGATGGACAGAAATACAAGCTATGCCACAGATTCATTTTTGTAGAATTTTCGTTCAAATAATAGTACACAACCTCCTAGTGTTCCAAGCACATCTTTATTGCAACTAATCGCCGCGATAATAAAGCACATTTTGTTTTCTAACATTTCACTATCTCAACCAAAATAGTGACGTTATTGTATCAGTCCCTTCCTATAAAAACCCCTTCTTAACGGATAGACAGTATTACGTTTATAAAGTTCCCGTTATTACTAAGATTAGCAATTGAAATGTTTTAGTTCTTCACTACACAAAACATCTTTTATGCTTGGACCTGACCTTATGGCCTCCTGCTCTATACCCACTTGTACAGGGCGCTGTTTATGTTGTGCTTTTGGCCATTTTTGTAGTTTGCTACTGCAAGGTAAGTATGCCCTTTGTACTCAAATGACGTCATACCAAAAGCCCCGTGGGTTGGAATCTCTTGGTACTTGATGAACTGCGCTCCAGAGGCCTGGTACACAACTGACTTGGTGTTGAACTTCTGACTGTCACCATGGTGATTAGCCACACCAAGGTAGGTTTGACCGCTGATTACAAATGGATACCATGCGATGGCTCCTCGAGTAGGAATGGACTGGAACAGGACGAACTTGTTACCATTCCACTTGTAAATGAAAGAATCGATGTTGTGTTTACTTCGAATTCCAGAGTAGTAGTTGGCAAAAGCGAGAAACGTGTGACCGTTGACGTTGAAAGGCTTCACATCGTGCGCTGCGTAAGTCTGAAGAGACTGCAGTTTTACAAAGTGACCTACTGACCACTTGAACACAGTGGACTGAACAGCACGCTTGTGTTGGGAGTAGTAATGATTTGCAAATGCGATGAATGTTTCTCTGTTTATCACAAACGCCGTACATCTCACGGCACCTTCAGTTGATATGTCTTGAAATCTGTTAAACTTGCCGCTGCTCCATTTGTAGATAACTGACTTTATAGAATGGGTACTTCCGTCATTGTAGTTTGCTACTGCGAGATAACTATCCCCATTTACCTTGAAATAGGTGAAGTGGCTTGCTCCGTATGTTGATAATTTCTGAAAGTCGACAAACAACTTTCCATTCCATTGATAGACTGTGGAATCCACCCGGTATGTTCCATCGTAATGGGTAGGGACAGCAAGAAAATGTTTGTTAGCGATAGAAAAGTACTCCAGGCCATACGCTCCTCTTGTTTGCAGGTTCTGGTACAAAGACAGTCTTCCAGTTGAGTTGTCCATCTTGTAGATCATGGAACTTGTCTTCCATTTCCTAATGTCCCCATGATAATTGGCAAAAGCAAGAAACAAATTTCCATCAATGGTGAAATGTTCCACACCTACAGCTCCTCGGGTTGGTAGGTCTTGAACTTTTTCAAAGAAGTGGAGTCCAATAGAGCAATCTTCCACAAGAAAAAAAAGGATGAACATCTTTGTTAACAGCTAATGTCAAGAAAAAAACTAGTTAGAATTAATCGACAAAAGAATTTACTCATGCGTTGTGGTTTTTCAATGACCAAAGATGGGCCACGATATCATGAACTTAAAATTCGGAAACTCTTCTTTCCAGTGAATCAATGTAAATGTACATCGTAGGCAACAGTAGTAAATAATGCCCTTACCGGTTAAACAGCACCCTGATTTGCCCTAAAACGCAAAATAACTCGTAAGAACAAAATACAGTAAAAGAACAAAGCTAACAATCTCCTAATATACACTCCTGGAGAAAAGTCCTAGTGCAGTGATGAAGTATTCTTATTTTTTTGTAATTTCTGGAAGCCCTTATAAAATAAACGTTAAGCATCCTTTTCGATTTTTTTTTGCAGTTCTCCCTCCCCCCACCCTATACAATACTGAAACTCGGAAAATTTCTGGATACACGCCGACACGCGTCCAACGTTGTTTGTGGGGTGGGGGTAGGGGTTGGGCATGTGTGAATTGAAAAAAAGCCGCACAAATGCAAATGTGTCCCAAGACTTTTGTACATGATTGTAGTTATATATGCAAACAGAGTTGAACACCTGTACAGATAACTTTTTCTGACGAAAAACTCCCTTGATCAGACACCAAGTGATGTAAAAAGGATCCTGCTTTCAAGATGACATTGAGCTAATCTTACGTTAACATCATATATGGCAGACTGCGGGCATTACATGTATTTTGTTCCTCTTTCCTTAGACTAGTAGGACATGCAAGCTAATTTTTATTTGATTTTTAAAAACCTAGATACTCACCGTCACGTGTCACAACTTTACCGCTTATTCACGTACACTTCTCCCTTTTAAAGACAACAGGCCCGAAAGGAAGAGATCGTGCATGCAGTTTATGGTAATTAAATTAATATGGCTTATTGTAATAAGGATAATTATCACTAAAGAGTGAAAATCTGGGAGCTGTGAGGTAATAATTACCTTTGTATCACACGTTCCCGAAATTCCTTTTTGTCCTTGTGATCCCTTCTCTCCTTGGGATCCTTTGTCACCACGAGATCCCTTTTCACCCTTATCAAACAAAGTATTTATAATTATAATGAACATATATTAATATTCTGCTAGATAGCCAAAGAGCTCGGGAATTTCAAAACCTGATCACCCCTTTATCTTTTACTGTAGCGATACAAGAAGAAAACTTAAAGTTACATACGGTGCTTGTTTTATACCAGAAACGAATCCGTAAAGAAATAAAATTCGATCTGTTTAGTTAGTTTAGTCGAGCGCCAGCTCGGACATACTAACTAACAGGCCGAATGTAACATTTAGAAGCGTGAGGGACATGAAAATTGAATGAGTGGTGTGTGTGTGGCTGTGTTGGATAAAGCATGTGCCTTCGTTTTTGTCTTGCACACTGAAAATTAGTTGGCAGAAAAAAAAAAAACAGAAATATTTTATTGAAGGTAAATCCACGTTGGAGAACTGATTAAGGTTGTTAAAGTGTTCTTTCTTACAGACAAAAAAAGGTCATGAAACTTACACTTACTTTAACACCACCATTACTGTTTTTATCCATTCCTGGTTCTCCTTTCACCCCTACAACAGAAATAATAAGGAGCACTTGGCCTGCTTACAAAGGGCCTGGGAAAATACGTCAAAAGAATCCTGAAACATCAATGTTGAGGACCTCCACAAGATCAGCCACATTTTACAAAAAGCGCTCTTCACCAACTAGATAATAACGACTCCCCCCTCCCTCAGCCACTCCCAAAGAAACTGGTAGCTCCTTGGAGTTCTGAGCAGTAAGAACTGCTAAACAAGACATAATAATAATAATCATCGTCATCATCATCATCTGTCAACATGATTGAAAAGCTTTCAAAGTATAACGACTTAGAGATCGAAGTCTCAAGGATGAGCCTTAAAACAGAAACTGTGTCTGTAGTTATTGGAGCTCTTGGCCTACTAAAAACGGGCCTCGGAAAATACGTGGAAAAAATCACTAGGAACATCAATATCGAAGAACTCCCAAAGATGAGTCTTCTAGGCACAGCCCATATTTTGCAAAAAGTGCTGTCTACCAATTAAATAAAGACTCCCCTCAGCTGCTCCCAAGGAGACTGGGCGCTTGTCGGAGCCCTGGACAGTACGAACTGTGAAAGAAGAAAAACATAATAATAATAATAATAATAATAATAATAATAACAATAACAATAAGTAATTAAAGCTAACTGTGAGAAAGGAGTGACAATGATGATGATGAAGATGGTAAATAACAAATACAGACAATCTATACTGTGGTGTGATCAACATAAAGCTAACTGGTCTGATTATAATTTTGATCATTTTGCTAAGTCCAACCGAAATTTAAACACACAAAAGACATTACTACACTCCATATGATCACTGATGTTTTATGGAGAGATACACATGTATGGATCCAGAAACTAAAACCTCCATTTGAAAAGCAGTACATATTTATAATACCTTAACACCTGCACTTCCATCTCTTCCTGGTTTCCCTGTTTCTCCTTTTTCTGCCTAACATAGATATTTACAAGGTGAAACCCAAACTGACAATAACTTAGAAGATGACTATTACTATTAATTTTACACCGCAGCAGGATTAGCTCAGTACCACGGCAGGATTAGCTCAGTCGGTAGAGCGCTTGACTGCAGAGCGGGAGGTAATGATATCGTTGATAGTGTCTCTTCAAAAATTAAATTATTTGCGGATGACACAAAGATTTACAGAGAGCTTCGCAACCCTAGTCTCGATGAACAATACCTTCAAACTGATTTGAATAATCTTGGTAAATGGGCGAAAAAATGGCAACTTCGTTTCAATGAGGAAAAGTGTGAAGCAATGCGAATAACGCATTCTCGTGACAAATCGACTACGAATTATAAACTAGGTACGGCCTTAAAAGATGTCAAGAGCTTTAAAGATCTTGGAATTATTATATCAGAAGATCTTACTTGGAGTGAATATATAAGTACTATGGTGAATAAGGCGAACCAAGTCCTAGGGCTAATAAGACGGTCGGTTGGAACAGCTAATACAACAACTTTTTCATTGCTTTACAAAACATTGGTCAGACCACTTTTAGAGTATGCTGCTCCAGTCTGGAACCCATATCTTGTCAAAGATATTCATGCAATAGAGAGCGTGCAAAGACGTCCGTCAAGATTAGCTCTTAGGCAAAAAAGAGGTGATATGTCTTATGAAGAGTGTTGTGACTTGTTACATTGGCCATCTTTGTCCAGTCGTAGGACATATTCCTCTCTTGTTGAATGTTATAAGATTTGGCTTATCACACTTGGATTTTGAGGAATTCTTTCAATTCGCAAAAGTCAAATCCACTAGGGCAAATCACTCGTATAAGCTTTATTGTAAATTATCTAGAATCAACTGTTTTAAATATTCTTTTTTTAACAATGTAATTAGTTATTGGAACAATTTACCTAGTAATGTTGTTAAAGCCGGTACCCTTGAACTTTTTAAATGTAAACTCAAATCCTTTTTAAAGTTGTAATTTTTATTGTTTGTTTGTTGTTTTTAGGAGAGTTTTATTCATAGGGTTAACCTCTAGACTCTCCCTTTCAAATTCATGTAGTTATTATGAGTTTGAATAAACATGTATGTTATGTTAGGTCGCGGGTTCGATTCCTGGGGCCGGACAAATACTCAGGGTCTTAAAATAACTGAGAAATGAAGGTACTCCCTTTGCACTGCAGGCGGCTGGACCTTCACGTGGCTCGGATGACCACGTAAAATGGTGGTCCCGTCTCCATTAGGAGACGTAAAATATAATGTCCCCAA